CCGTCGCGATGCCAAGTTGACACACACATGTATAAAATCACACAATCTCCCACGTATAGACATTCTGGCTTACACAAACACACATGTGCGCACAGAAACACACGTACTTCACAGGACTTCTCTGAGAACATCCCTAAGCTGCCAAGTTCACGAAAACACGCACACATTAACACAAACGTCTCGTGTGAGCACTTTCAGTACATCTTTACACCTCTGCACCACCAGGTTCACACATATACACCTACACCCACCTGCACAGACACACAAACTTGAACACAAACATACACCCACAGTTATTTCAAACGGTGTTGCTTTAAATCAACCATCTAGTTCAAAAGCATATATTTACACAAAGTGAAAAGTATCCTAGAATAAATATGTGTGTTATATTTAAAGAAAAGTGCTTCTGAGCTGAAACACAACATACCACAGAAATATGAACATCTGTAACCAGAATCCAGCATCTAAACTGTGGAATCTATAACGACTGAGACTGCAGGGGCCGTATAAAGAGAAACACACACCAAATATTTTAGACTAACACAATATAGCAGCTGAATTGTAGAACCTGGCTATACCACTGCTTAGTCATCATAATAAACAAGAGGACTTTTCAGACCTTATAGAGTGATCTTGACACCCATTCATTCCAGATCAAATGTAAGGGGGCTTAGCTAATGGCTTTTTAATAGGCCGAGAGGCTCGAGGGTGGGGCTTAGTTGGAAGGGTGACACATGCACTCAAACTGGCATGAGAGGATCTCAGCTAACACTCTCCGCGCATTGTGTTGTGTCGGTGTGTGTGTGTGTGTGGGTGCGCGGGCCATAAGTGCATGTCTCCGTGCAAGAGATTTTTTCCATAATGTAAGACGGCTTCTATAGCTCCGCAAAGCTCGGAGAAAGATGCCAGAGTAAACGAGTAAGTGCTAAAAAAAGGTTTATAATTAAAAGCTTAGGAGAGACCTGGATGTAAAGTAGAACAACTTGGATTGAATTCATCGAGTGTGGGATGAGTGTATTCAAAATATATGTATTTTTTAAAACATCTGAAAAGTTGAGGGTTCTCATCATTCGTCATTATTAGATTTGAATCCTCAGAAGTGCCAGCGTCATTTCCACAAACACCATCATCCTGAACATCATTAGTCATGACCTTAAAAATAAACTCAGCTATTAAACTTAACAAACCGCATTTTAGGTGGCCATAAGACACTCAGTGATGCATGAACAGAACTGAACACCAGAAGGATTTGATTAAAACAACTATTTCCCCCATTCAAAAAAACCAAATGCACTCAAACTAAGAATGTGTGATTTGAAGGACGATCTCTACCAGAATGGACTGGGGATTGAATCCAGCACTGATGCACAGAGAGGATCAGCTATGTACACAAAGCAACCCACTCCCCCACAGTTAGGTCAGCGTGTTTGTGTGTTCTGCCCCATTCAATAGAACAACTAATGGAGTGACTCCTCACACACAAAGAACCAACTTCAGAGACATGAGTCAAGTTGTTTGGAGCAGAGTAATAACAGACAGAAACAAAAACAGCCAAGCCCAAGAGGAGAAACACAGAAATATAAACTTTATATTAAAAAAAAGGGGGGGGGGGGGTGAGACAAACAGCGCTCAGGAGTTTCATCTACCTGAAAAGCCCCAACAGTTTAAGTTTCCAATTATCAGAATTCTCTACCAAAGTCAAATTGAGCCGCGTGTTGGTGGCAAGGTGCAATTTATCAGAGGTGGGTGAAAGCCTACTCAAATCGTGTCCCTAAATTGCAATGTATTGATTTAACAGTAAACCAATAGAGTACGGTCATAATGAATATCGGTGGGTGTTGCTGAAATGTTGTTCCCCAGGGCAACGAGAGAAAGGTGGCAGCAACATCATGTTCAATTACTGCCCAAATTCAGCACAAAAACCCTAGGCCAATCAGTAATGTCGATACCAATTTACTGACTACATTGTGCAGTAGACTAGGCTACTTACTGTATCCTTTAAGAGGCTTTCAAGTGGAATATAAGTTGTATAATGGAGGGTAAAGATTACAGCAACACAGAGTCCGGATAGGATATTAGAATATTATACTTATAGACTATAATAGGGGATTAAATCCACCATAGTGCCTATGATAAGGTCAAACTTTCTAGGTTACTCGGGCCATACAGGGAAATGTGGTGAATTAAGCAGCTTGGTGAAACAACACAAGGGTTGGACACTTTCGGATGAACATTAACAAGGTACAAGTTCTCCCCGAGAAGGTCACGGAGAGTGTGTGAGAGAGAGAGAGAGAGAGTGAAGAGAGAGAGAGAGAGAGATGTTGCCCGTCTTTCCATTCAGCATTTCCAAGGAGCAGCCTATTATACTGTGAATCTCTGAGCTATTAAATTAAAATATGTGTCAATGTTAGGCTACTTATTCGTGCTTCATTAAGCCTGTGACCTGTGGTTTCCTCCATAGTGTTACTAATACCTAACACCTCATCATTTTTATATTTGATGTACTCCTATATGGTGAGATCTTTGGATTCTCTTAGGAAAGATGGTGATGGTGAGTTATTGTGGCATTTTCATCAAGTGCAGCGGCGGTGTTTGCAGCATTATTCTTCTGGGGACTCCAGGTTTTTGTTGGGAGATGTGTATAATTGCCGCTACGCGTCTGGCTGGCTGTGAGTGTTTGTGACTTCTGATCAATTTTCCAATCGAAGCCGTGAAGCGTCGCCTCTGTATTGCGAAGTGCTCTGCAACGAGACATTAGTCGCCTGAGCGTGGACTCCCCAAGTCCTGCCCTTCACAGTTTTCACCTTAATTTAACTGCAACCTCGGAGTTGATTTACCCCTGAAGACCCGAAACAGGTCCTGACGAAAAATCCCCGCAATACTGAGTGCCCACAGGAACCTGAATGTGTGTTCCCCGGGAGTTTTTGCTGTCACATGCGTATTTATCTGGTTCTCAATAAGCGAGTTGAAATCACATTTTCTCTAATAATAATCAGCCCTTTTTCTTTAATTCCCCGATTATTTTCCAGTCGTCCTAACTGAATAAGCTCATCAGTGGTCTCTTGTAGGGAAACGTGCGCTGCGACTTTTGCCTTTCAGTTTGTGCAGCACACTTCGAGCAGGAATGGAAATGCGCAGATAGCCTCTGTATGGTTTACACCTTAAAACACTGACCGCAAACCACCCACCCACCCATCAGCATCAGCTCGGTTTAAATGGGAATATAGCATCCAAAAAAAAAAGTAAACCTCCTCGGCAGGAGCTACTTCTGCCTCCCCGTCTCCTACCAGACGTGCCGCCGCTGCCACACATCTCGGCAGCGAAGGAAAGGTGGCATCGCTTTGGAACAACTAAAGGTGTATTAAACATTGGGAAGAAGACGCGCTTTTTTTCCCTCCAGCCTTACCTTGGGTGACTCCTCGGTGTACGAGCACCAGGAGAACCAGAATCCCCGGCGTGGCGCACATCCTCACCAAGCCGCAACCCCCGCGTCCTATTCCACTTCTCTGTCCACTTTTGCCCATTACAAGCAACGCGTAAAACACATAAACACACAAAACTCCTCGGTCCACGGCGGGGGAAATGAGAACCCCCCCTCCACCACAGGGTCTGCTGATTAATCAAACGAGTTCAAAAACCAAAAGGTGGGTAAGGTGTATCGCCTCTAGTCCCGATGGCCAAGTCCGTCTCAGAAGGCGCAGGTTAAGCTGTGAGGAGAGAGAGAGAGAGAGAGAGAGAGAGAGAGGTGGTGGAAATAACCACGGGGTCCCTTCACTCGTGTCTGCTTCCTCGCCACTAAGCTCTGCTTTTCTCTCCGTGCGCTCTCTCCTTCTCCACTCTCTCCGTTTACGCAGAGAGAGAGAAATGCCACCGCCCTCTGGCTACCATATACTCTCTCCCTTTCTGCTCTCCTCTTCCCTCTCTTTCGCACTTTAACATAAAAAAACAGAATACAATCCCATCGAAACACTTGACTCCTACTGGCAAATCGGAATATGGTTATTTTATGTGTTTGATATGTTTAGAGTGAAGTAGATGATTTCCGTGTCTTCACTCCTTCAAGGCTTAAAATAACCTCATCATATTTTCTCATAGAGACTTTTAGAGATCCAGAAACACATTTTATTTTGACTTTCTTTGACTTTTTAACAAAAATCCTGGTGCATTTCTATAACTTAGGTATGTTTGTGACTTGTACTATATTTGCCTTTTGTAATTTTTTTTTTTAAATCCATTGCATCTATCTATTGTTTGCGCGTGTCCGAGCGGGTGCGCGCCTATAATTGCTGCCGGTGTGGAACAAACCAGGGAGCCACATTTCTCCGAGAGCTCCCCGACTGATGTCTGCCCCCTGACGGCCACCTCCGCTGGACCTGAAAAAGGATGCACTGAAGCGTAGAAACGTAAATCTCCACAGTAGAGTTTAACTATATATTGCAGACAAATTATACTTATATAAAAATAAATGTTGTAAGCTTATATAACTGTAAAGGATGATATAAATGATATGATAGCCACTGCCACCTATAATTGATTCATCTAGATGATTATGTGCTGTAACCTACAGTATATATAATGACAATTAAATTGGAGGTCACTCACCTTGTACACTAATCACTTCATCACAGTGTACATTATCTTAAAGTGGGTTACTGGGAAAAAGGTAATAATATAACACAGACACAAATTAACACCGCAATTTGTACAAATGTGTCAAGAGTGAGTGTCTGAAAGACTGTTCACTTTACAAGATGTCCTTCACTGCCACCACAACCGAGAAAGAGAAATCATGTCATAGCCATATCCTTTCGAAACATGGTGACCATTGGTTTGTTTTACTGCCACAATTCACATATGACACATGACACTTATGTCATCACATTCATGTTTGAATAGATGTCATACTTACAATTATCTACATCCAGTGTGTTAAAATACCTGAATAATAATATAATAATAAACTCAAAACAAGCAAACACTTGTGAATGTGTGTTTGCTGCACACCCACACATTCTTCCGGCTAACATAACTCTTAACAGTGTTGCTGCACAGTCATTTGAGCAGCACAGCCTGGATCATGCATTGTAAATGGCAATAGTAAAATATGTGCTTGGTGCTATTTGTCACCACAGCAGCCCCACAGTTCAGTGACTACCATTGGAAGTAGCTGCTACCCGCAGGGACCTGTAAAAGCCTTTTTATTCTGCCACTTTATTGGGAATGGGAAAGCAATAAGTTACACAAGAAACATATGGCGCACTTGGATATGGATCAGCACTTACACTAGCAACAGTCAATGGGAATGGGATTTTCACAGTTCCAAGTGGTAGAACAACACATAGTATATACTATATATACACTGCCAATTATTTAAATGTAATATTTAAATAGTGTATTACATTACAGTTGAGGCGAAGTGTTTTTTATAATCATTTTTCTTTCCTAAGACAGAGGCCTAAAAGTTTAAGTCAAACTAAATGCACACCACTTAAATACTTCTAGTAACTCTTTCCTGAAGCATTTTTATTGGAACTACTTTTGACCAGATCTCTTTTAAGATAAATTATAACTGCTAACAATGTGTTTGGTGGATTTTTCAGAGAAAAAGGGAGACTGGCAATGCAAGTCCGTAGGTCTACACTGTAATATCTCAACAACTATTAGATGGATTGCCATGAAATTAGTACCATTAGTCATGGTCCCCAGAGGATGAATCCTACTGATTTTGGTGATCCCATGACTTTTCCTTTAGCATAACCACAAGGTTCACATCTGTGGTTCAAAGTGATATGTATCAATAACTATTGGATAGATTGGCATTACATTTGGTACATGTCTGTAACAAACTCAAATAACTTCCCTTAATCTTTAATCTAAAACAATCAACGGGTTAAAATTTAAATTTGTCCAATACGTCATGATCAAATACCTGCAAAAAAAAAAAAGACATTCCTACCAGTCTTGGTAGACGTGGTAATAAACAAATGTTTGCAAGCTAAGACGCAAAACTAAGATTGTGAACATGATAACCTTTTGCTCAGCTCAAATGTAATTTCAGCAGGTCAAGGCCCACTGCACATTCTGCATACAGCCTCATATTCACATAAAAGCAGACAGGCCATTAAAGCAGTTATTTTAAATGTTGAATGTGAATCTGGTTCCTCCTCCTCCTCACTTTTCACAGTCTGAATTGTTATTTCCACCATTGTGAATGGGCATGCTGAATAACTCCTCCACTTAAAACTGAAAGAATAATGATTGCAGTGTGTGTGTGTGTGTGTCTGCATGCTGCCCTGTCTGCCCTAAAGCCCACCAGTTCTACTTTTAACTAAACTCCCTGAGGACTTTGTCACGCTTTATCCATCTCCCTTTTTCTTTGAATGTGAGAATCATCAAAGACAGTCCAACATCATTTTATTCATGTTTATCATCATTACTGAGATACATATACAGTATGTAGAAAGTTGAACATATTTTCCCATTGGTAGCCAGTGTCTGTGTCCCATAGCATCAAAGACACGTTGATAATGAGAGGGGGAGACAAGACAGTGGAGAAGAAGGCTTTAGAGAATGTCACCACATTGATAATGCAGAGGGTAAAAGAATTATAGAAGATTATATACAGCCATAATTTCAGATAAAAAAAAGATTCTTGTTCTGTTGCTCATCAGTGTGCAACATTTTTATTAATGTCATACTAGTGTAGAAATTTGTTTTGATAGTCCTCAAATAGTTCCACAGTTTGGGAAATACCCTTGAGGGCTGTCTTTTCCAAGAGTTAGATGAGAAGACCAGTACCACTGTTATGTTCAGCCAGGCTACAGTGTTTTTGAATTTCTGTACTGATTAAACGAGATACAACATGTTGAGCAAACTATAGAAGTCCTGGTAGGTAGACTTTGCTACCTTTGGACAGAGCCAGACTAGCTGTTCCCCCTTGTCCCCAGTCTTTATGCTAAGCTAAGATAGCTAGCTGCTGGCTGTGGCTTCATATTTAGTTTACAAACATGAAAGTGGTTTCAATTCAAGAAGAAAGTGAATAAGCGTATTACTCCAAAATTTCAAAACATTTTCTTAAATAGCTTCAAAGTACTATAAGTACTTATTTGCTTCAAAATGTTCAAAAAGTATAATTCTGGGACCACCTCACACAGCGGTAGATGAGAGACTAACCAGGATTAGAACTTCTCTCCCAAGATTTCTTTTTACTTTTTTCCATTTTTGTGTGCGCAGCATCATGAATGTCTGAGAGGAAAAACTGTATGAAAGTGTGTGTTATCTCTATATTGACTTCTTGTGTCTCCCTTCAGTTTACTAAAAATCGGGAAAACGCAACGATCAGTAACGTGGAATTTCGGCCGAGCGATTTAACCTTTTTGACACATCCACTGCTGGAGCATCTGTCTGCTCCGCTTCAATGTACATATGTCTGCCATGTGTTTAGTTTTTGTTTTTGGAGAAAACAGTTAGCCTCACCAGCAGATGCAGTCTTAGAAGCAGTTGTCGATGCACTGGATTTCTTCACCAACAACAGCTAGTAAGTGCATGAAGCCTCACAGACGTCCTGTACTCACAGTGAAGTTGACAAATTTACTTAACGTTGTAAATTAGAACAAAACTCATGGGACGTGAACGTGTGATGTATGAATGACTAATTAGCTAATATAATATAATCGAATGTACAGAAATTTGCACTCATCCAAAAGATAAATGAGCATCATCATTTATTATTTTCATAATTTTTTTTTCATTTGATAATGCTTTTTGAAAAGTCCAATGCTATGTTCCTAGCAGCAACTTGCATAGGGTTCCCAATGAGCAACCAGCATGTTGCTTATGAACGTTTCAGAGTGAGTGATAACATTGACTGTGGACTTTCATCCTTCATCCAGCCCAATTTGGCCTGGGTGGGGCATTGTTCACTTGTTGTCATTAGAGTAAATGAAATATTGGCACAGGCTCAAGCAAAGACTAAAAATCCAAATTATATTAGTTAGTTAGGCTGATGTTTAAAGCTATACTCCATATTTCCAGAAAAAAACAAAGCGGAAGTTACACTTTGTGTGTGGTGAAGGTGTTTTTGTGAGGATTCTTTTTCAAAGGGGAACCAATCACTTGCCGCCTTACGCTCACCAATTGAAGATATTGAAAGAGACACTCCATTCCTTGGAAAGTTAACTTGCGACAAGCTCATATTACCAGCCTCCTGTCTCTTAACATTAGTCTTTTGTCACTCTTCTACTCTTTTATCTTGCTACCTGTGGAGGTATAACTAACATGTCCTCATGTGTGCCATCTTCTGTGCTATCTCTATTGTATGCTACAAGAGAAAGCGGCCCCCATGGGGGTGACTAGGTTTAATCTCTTTAAGCAGTTACATAATGGCCCCCAGTTCACGTTTTAATCAGCGAATAGATGGCTGCACCCAGGGACGAATAATCACATCTATAACTTTCTAATCTAATATCCAGCTACATTCAAGTGGATTAGAGAGGAGCAGCGAGGGAGAGGAGGGGCACAGGTGGTACACCTCGATGTGAGTAAGTGTTTGTAGAGGATTTATTTGTGTGTTATTTTGAGATGGAGAAAATGAGACTTAGGAATCATGTGTTTCTGTCTGGAGTTTGCACGTGTGTGCGCACATGTGTGTGCGTGTCCTAACCATCTATTGCGAAACACACTGTCTGCAATATCAATCCTCTCAGATCACTTTTGATTTTAGTCGTTTGGCAGGTTGTTTGGTGATGAGTACTGACAATCTCATTCCCTAGATAGCTCTGTGTGACCTGGGCTGTGTCCTGTACACAACATCACTGTGGGAACAAAAGTGAATCAAGAAATTTAGCCAGACAGACAGATGGAGAGATGTATCGAGTGATCATTGA